CCCCTCTCTAATAATTTTTTTGACAATCTAATATCTTGATAATAAATAACTTAAATATTATTACATATTTAATATTTAAGTTATTTTAAATACATTAAAAATTTTAAGTAAATATCACCGTGATATCACTATTTAAGTAATTAAATTAATTCATTATCAATTACACATCGATTTATTCAGGTTAAAATAGTTTGAATAAATAGATTACAGATCTTAATTTTTACTAATAAAATTCATTATTTGAGAGTGTATATCCATTATTTTCAAATTGATTGGTACTTTCAACATTTTTTTTTATAGAGTTTATAGATTTCTCTATAAATATTTGTATTAATCTTATTTAAGTAGTAAAAGATAGTCATTCTTTAATAATGCAGTAAGCTGACTTGATTTTCAGAAGTTTAATTTATATAGTTAAATTAGTAGTGTAATATTTTTTCAATAATTTATTTCTCAACTTTGAAATGCTTATCATGCAAGGGATTAATGTTTTTCTTGTTTGAAGAAAAAATTTTCATAACAGATATTGAAAGCCATAAATAAACAATAGAATACATATCATTTTTAAGTTTAATCAAAGAGTTCTAAAGTTTACTCAATAGATTTTATTATCTATGTTAATTCAAATATAGTTTCAGATTTATAATAATATTAGAATCTCTGTATTCTTTGTGAAAATGCACCTCTCTTACTTTATATAATATTTAAATAAAAAAAAATTTGTGATTAGAAAACTGTTCAACATGCTCATAAGCTAATAATTTCCTGATCTATTAAAACCATATCAATTTTTTTTCACAAATTATTACAAAAAAGTTATTGGTTTCATAAGGCTATATAATAATAATCTGATTAGGGTTACTTTTGCATTAAATAGAGTATCGCTTTACTGAGATCGTAATTCAATTATTTACTATTAGTATTTGAATACAAATTAAGGTCGATTTTGCTCAGATAGTATAATTGTATGGTTAATACAATTAAAAAATAAAATTGATAATGTAATGGCAAAAGCTAAGGTGAACAATGAATTCTTATTCTTATAACTCCCACTTGTTTTAATTTTGCCATTTACTCCTATTAATGTGATAATATTCGGTAGAAATATTTAGATTACAAACAGTTAGAATGATATTTAGTTTACAAACAGATAGAATGATATTGATCAAAATATCTGAAAAAATTCTGTTAAATTAATGAACAAATTTCAATGTCAAATATATATCAAGATTTAGAGTTTATATTACTTTATGCACTTCTTTATATCAAATTATTTGAATGGACGATGTAATTATTCCCTTACTAAATTTGGATGATTTATTGTAATAAACCATATATACCAATATACATGTTTTACTTCAATGATAGGAATTCTTTAGTGCTATAGTAAATCAAAAAATTAAGGATAAGATCTTAAGTATATTTGTCAACTTATGCATAAATATAAATGTTAAATTTTCCTTAAAATTTAGGTTAATCAGAAAAAAAGCTAATCATATTGTAATCCAAATGATTCCAATTAAAATTATAAGAATTAAAGCAAGCAAATTCAGAAAATGATTTTCTTTATTATTTTAAATAAAAAAATGCTGAAAATATGGTTAATGTTTTAACAAATTTAAGAAATAATGCTCACCAGTACTTATTGAGAGGGTAATGATAAAGTTGTGCATTTTATTCGATAATNTCTGAGTTTCATAAACTTTCTATTCTCCATTATCATTAACAAATTTGATTTCTTTTGTTATTTGATATTTCTCATTATGTAAACAATCGAAATACATAAAAGTTATTCCACCATCTACCTTATCAATTATATTCAGTAATTAGTAGCAATTACTTCCAAAAATTCCAACAGGACCAACTTAAGATATAGCACTTAAAGGATTATATCGAGACCAAAGACCATAACTAAAAAATTGGTTTGGCTGAATAATCTCATCATCAATCTTTACCGATTGATAAGCAACTTGATAATAAGGGTCTAAAGTTTAAATTTCAATTGATTTTAAAGCATCCAAGCAAAGAAGAAAAATTAAAATCATCATATTATTAATTTTATTTAATAAATAAACTTAGTTTGCTTTAATTAAATAAGAGTAATAGATTATAATGAATAATATGAAGAATATTCTTTATTTATTGAAAAAAGTAAGATTATCAAATATTGAATCTTATTAAATTCAAAAAAATTATAAGATCACTCAGAAAAGCGCAATTAAAAATAAATAAAACCTTTAATCTATTTCCATTTAATCTTTATAATAATTTTAATGAGCAACTTTTTTGATTAGAGATAAACTCCTTCAAATTAATTTTGGATTTTTTTCATTTACAAACTGTTCCCTATGAATTAATTAAAGATGAAAAATAATTTATTCGGAAATCTGAAAACTACATAAGAAAATTAAATAAATTATAAAATACTATCTAATATTTTTATCATTAAACCTTATCAAACAACAAAAGTTTAAATAAATGTTAAATTACTATTTGTCCCCTCTCTAATAATTTTTTTGACAATCTAATATCTTGATAATAAATAACTTAAATATTATTACATATTTAATATTTAAGTTATTTTAAATACATTAAAAATTTTAAGTAAATATCACCGTGATATCACTATTTAAGTAATTAAATTAATTCATTATCAATTACACATCGATTTATTCAGGTTAAAATAGTTTGAATAAATAGATTACAGATCTTAATTTTTACTAATAAAATTCATTATTTGAGAGTGTATATCCATTATTTTCAAATTGATTGGTACTTTCAACATTTTTTTTTATAGAGTTTATAGATTTCTCTATAAATATTTGTATTAATCTTATTTAAGTAGTAAAAGATAGTCATTCTTTAATAATGCAGTAAGCTGACTTGATTTTCAGAAGTTTAATTTATATAGTTAAATTAGTAGTGTAATATTTTTTCAATAATTTATTTCTCAACTTTGAAATGCTTATCATGCAAGGGATTAATGTTTTTCTTGTTTGAAGAAAAAATTTTCATAACAGATATTGAAAGCCATAAATAAACAATAGAATACATATCATTTTTAAGTTTAATCAAAGAGTTCTAAAGTTTACTCAATAGATTTTATTATCTATGTTAATTCAAATATAGTTTCAGATTTATAATAATATTAGAATCTCTGTATTCTTTGTGAAAATGCACCTCTCTTACTTTATATAATATTTAAATAAAAAAAAATTTGTGATTAGAAAACTGTTCAACATGCTCATAAGCTAATAATTTCCTGATCTATTAAAACCATATCAATTTTTTTTCACAAATTATTACAAAAAAGTTATTGGTTTCATAAGGCTATATAATAATAATCTGATTAGGGTTACTTTTGCATTAAATAGAGTATCGCTTTACTGAGATCGTAATTCAATTATTTACTATTAGTATTTGAATACAAATTAAGGTCGATTTTGCTCAGATAGTATAATTGTATGGTTAATACAATTAAAAAATAAAATTGATAATGTAATGGCAAAAGCTAAGGTGAACAATGAATTCTTATTCTTATAACTCCCACTTGTTTCAATATTGCCATTTTTCAAAGTCAAATATATATCAAGATTTAGAGTTTATATTACTTTATGCACTTCTTTATATCAAATTATTTGAATGGACGATGTAATTATTCCCTTACTAAATTTGGATGATTTATTGTAATAAACCATATATACCAATATACATGTTTTACTTCAATGATAGGAATTCTTTAATGCTATAGTTTATCAAAAAATAAAGGATAAGATTTAAAGTATATAATCAACTTATGCATAAATGTTAAATTTTCCTTAAAATTTAGGTTAATCAGAAAAAAAAGCTAATCATATTGTAATCCAAATGATTCCAATTAAAATTATAAGAATTAAAGCAAGCAAATTCAGAAAATGATTTTCTTTATTATTTTAAATAAAAAATGCTGAAAATATGGTTAATGTTTTAATAAATTTAAGAAATAATGCTCACCAGTACTTATTGAGAGGGTAATGATAAAGTTGTGCATTTTATTCGATAATAAAAGGATAGAATTCAAATGGACAGCCTGTTTGAAGATAATGAAAATATTTAATTTGTTAACTAACTAAAACATTTAGGTAATGAAAAAGAAATGATCTGCAATTAAAATTGCTTTAAGTATTTTCTCTCAATTTGAGACCCTCCTAATTAAAGTGTCAATTGGTTTTTTGTATCTTCAGAAAATGAATGTTTAATAATATAATTTAACTATTGGTTTAATTGTACCAAATAAATTTTAATTATAATTTATCAATTATTAATTATTGTCTTGAATATGGAGTAAAAAATGAAATTATTTTTTCACCTATCCTTCTCAAGAAATATTTGTTAACATCAAAATAATATTATTATAGCCACTATCTTTTACTTTGAAAAATAATGAATGTTTTAATAATCGCTGAATTATAAATGATGACTATTTTGTAAAGTCATTATTAGAAAAGGTAAGATTTTTTTTATTGTAATCTCCTCGACATTTCTTTTAAGAAATTCAATTCTTGGTAAAGTCCCCTAATTAAAAATTTCACTAAACTTCCTGATATAAAATTATTATGAATATTAAATAAACTTTAAATATATTTATTTTATCATATTCACAATCCTTAATGTTTTTTTATTTATATTTCATTAGATCAGAATCCCAAATTATCAAATACTCCCCATTATTACTTATATACTCAAATATATCATATATATTAAGACTCATATTATCCCACAATTTTCCAAATAACATTAATCTTTTTCATTTTATCAATCTATAAAAGCCGAATTTCTCAGAATTATTATACATTCAAGTTTAAAAAGTGAATTAACAGATAGGGAAGACGATCAAGGGTACTCTTAACATATTTTAGCAACGAACCATTTTGAGCACTATGATTCGTTACTAAATCCATTTTTTTAACAGTTAAATAGATCTTAACTTGTTAAAGTACTGATTGTGGCAAGCAAAAATTACAATAAGTGCTTCAAACTGAGCGTGCACTTTCCATAAATAACCCGATTACTTGACGATCATCTTAGGTACATCTAATCTACATTTTCTTTTCCAATTAAATTAATTATTAAAAATATTATTAATTTTGATCATTTAAATTTTCAAATCTCATATGTATAAGTTATACTTTTCAACATAAGCTAAAATTGTTAGTTTTTAGAAAATAAAAATAATGGTGATCCATAAACTTTTGAAATTTTCTATAAGTAAACCTTAGGTATTACATGATGATTAATGCTGTGATTTTCGATATCACAACGGATATTTAAAATAAGTACCATAAATTAAATTTAATTGCATTTTTTGATTTGAATATAGATTAATTAAGTTGTTTAATGGAAGAAATGATAAAAATAATTATAATAAAAATATTATATAAAATAAACATAGGGATCTAAAACTTCTTTTTATTTTAGGGCTTGTCTTATTCACTTTATAGGAAACTATAGAAAATAAAATAAGATACTTTACGTTATAAGACAACTGAGACAGACCTTCACCTATTCCCCTTCTGTCAAATTTTGGTAAATGATCAATTGACAATCAATCATACACCAGATCTCTCTATTTTTCACTTTATCTAAATTAGCAGAAAGAAAAGAGGTAATACTAACCTTTTTCAAAAGCTTTGATATCTGATGTAATTAATCAGATATCTAAGTACAGCATATGGTTAGTAATGTCTTGGAATGTATTCAGTTTGTTATCTCGGAGGGAATATAGGTGCTGAGCTATGTGAGAAACATAATCAAGAAAGTATGAATTATGGACAATCAAAAGGGTAGGGATCGTTGATAGATGACTTTACTTATTTCAGCACGGTTGAGATATAACAGATATTTAGAAAAATTTGGAAGAGGTTGATTGTAGTTCCATTTTGAATCTTAAGATAAATAGAAGTGTTGATTCTTTGATTTATAACTGAATATAATTAAATTAATCAGCATAATTTAGGTTAGTAAATCATTCCCAAGAGTTATTATAAAATTATTTTTACATTTACTCAATAGTCGCTATATATTACCTTTCAAATTTTGGTAATTTAGGGTAGATATTAGTTTTTAGATTATCACATTCCATTCAGCTCGGAATCTTGCTTTTTCATTTGTTCACTTCCCTTAATTGAACAGAGGCTATTTATATATCAAATTTGGTTTAACCTAATTTAGATCTAGTTATCACTAAACTTAGAACTAATAAAATCTTTGAATTATTAAGGTTTGAATTCAAAATAACTTTCCTTCTTAAATTATTAAAAAATATACAATTTTTTATCTTCTCTCGTATATCTGATGCTTATTTATATTTCTGATTTAAAAAATGGTGAATTAATGATAATTCAAAATCAAAATATATCATGCCTTCTTTATCATCTCTATTATTAAATAATGGATTAGCAGCCATGCTTAAGATTGTTTTTATGACATCATCACTATTTATATTAATTATAAACTTTGGTATTTTATATTGGTAATGATAATAATTATTATTATTATCATTATTATAATATAAT